ATAAGTTATATGTTATATAAATATAACATATTTATATATAATATATATTTATATACACATTATATATTATATATAATTTATATACACATACAAATTTTATATATTATATATTATTTTATATATTATAAAGTAGATTTATATACTACTTTATACATTATAAAGTGGGTTTCTTGCAGACCACATGTAGTTGGGTTTGATCCATTCCAATAAGTTTTGTCTTTCAATTGGTGTATGAAGTCCATTGCCATTCAAAGGCTTTATTGATATAGTTGGATTGTTATCTACCACATTTGTTAATATTTCCTATTCATTGCCTTTCTTCTTTGCTTCTATTTTGTCTTCCACTTTTTGTTTGCCTTTTGTGGTTTTAATTGAGCATTTTAAATAATTCAATTTTCTCTCCTTTTAAAAAACATTTAAATTATACTTTTTATACATTTTTAGTGATTTTATACTTTTTACATTTTATAAAATATTTATAACTAATCCAAGTTCATACTGAAACAAAATTATACCACTTGATAAGTAGTATATATGAAGTGAGTATACTATACTAAATAACAAATAATATAATAAAAATTATAATAAAAATACTAATAGAAAAAATACCATCTGAATACAATTTGGTTAAATTTATGGAAATGTAACACTACAGAAAAGTCATACTTGAAAATTTAGCCCCATAAATTTTCACCCGATGAACACACCCAATGCTCAAATCAAAACTCCCCCACCCCTTTTCCTTTCCAATGACTATACTACCTCCCAAAGGGAATGGCCACTCTTTTGATTTCTAACACATAAGTGCATTTTTATTTTTAAAAACTCCTGCAATTCACTTAAAGCATGATTCCCCAGTCTCCTTTCCACAATGAGTTTGGTGTGTTTTTTCTCATCCATTTTTTAAATACGTGTACATACAACGTAAGTTATCTACCCGTGGAAATGTATAGTTTTGCTTTCTCAATACATTGTAATTTTTACATTTATTTACGTACAATTTGGTTTCCTGCCTCTGCCACTAAACTATAATCACCACAAGGAGCAAGCCAATGGCAATACCTGCACCTCATTTTCTCCCCGGCAGCCATACATGTTCCATAAATGTGGTAAATAAACGAATGAGTCTGCCAGGTGCTGGGGCCATAGAAGTGTACAACACAAACATGTTCACTGCCCCCACCCTCTTCTGTTATAGAGTGTGATCGACCAGAAATTTGTCCTAAAACCTCTCCGAATGCCCTAAAGTAATGTCCTGAAGCCACAATCTTCATCCTTCCCAGTGATGTCCCATACCTCAGCAAGCTCCTCCTTGCTGACTGACTCCCTTCCTGGGCTAATAAAGGGGCCCCAGGTCAACTTCCCCATGCTTCCCACCCACCTTCACTGATCTCAGCCCCTCTGTGTATAAATATTGTCCTTCTACCTTCATTCTACAAAGCTCAACATGTCTCCTAGAACTAGCTAATAAGACAAATGTGGTGAATAGGATTTTGTGCTTGAGAGTTAGAAGACACGGGTACAAGTCCTAAAGCTTTCACTCTCTGGGTGACCCTGGGAAAATCACTCCACCTGTCTGGTGTAAGTTTTTATGTCTATCAAATGAAGTGATGCACTGAAAAGCTCTAGGGCTCCTTGTAGCTCTAATATTCTATGATTTTTATGATGAAAGGTATCAACACTTAAGTGCAGACAGCTCATTTTTCTACTGATAGCCTAAGTCCCAGTGATCATTTATTTCCCCTAGGGGAGGCTTAACACTTCTGAATCTCTGTTCGGCTTCTTCATTACACAGGTCTGTCTCACCCCAGCCCTCTACTTTGATAAGGCATACTGCAAGTGGCAATAGTGGAAAGTAGACAAACAGTTCTTCAGGAAGGTTGACATGGATGATCAATACTATCCTTGTGAAAATGCCAGCAAGTTTGAACACTTCTTTAAAACACATCTTCCTTTAGAAAACTGTCTTTTGAAACACCATGACCTAATTTTCAGGGAAGAACTGATTACAAAGCCTGGGGTTTCTTACTAAGGCAGTGAGTTTTTGACTCCCACTCGATGATTAAAGACTAAGGGAAAAGCAAAACAACAAGGGCCTCACATCCCTACTGATTGCATCGTGCTAGTCTGAGATCCATGGAAACTGAACTGCTATCTAGAGAAGAGGCTAGCCAATCAGCATGCACGTGGGATCAGCTGACCATGGGGACCCCAATTTCATACAAACAACACTTGGCACCTGGCAACACAAGTGCCCCCTGTTCTGAGCCATCGCAGTGTGTCTGGGTCTGAGGAATAACTCTCTAGGAGTGGGACTGGCTTAGTCTCAACTCTATTTACTGGCTGAGACAACAAGGACCCTCCAGACTTTGGAGACTGAAAACGGGTCATATGAGCTTCTCCGGGCCATTTTGAAGTTCATCTCTAAATCACTGTCTAATTTTATTCTAACAAAAGCATTCAAATTAGCCATTATTGGCCCCATTTTACAGATGAGGAAATTTAAGCCACTTGTCTAATGTCACTGGACTAGGGCAGAGCAGAATGAGTTTTCATTTCACACCTTAGGATTCTTAGCCTCAAGTTACACTAAAGAAAGCTTCCAGGGACTGCAGTCTCCCCTTCCCCTGACCCCTAAATATTAGAAAAGTTTAGGGTACATGTCATTCAGGCTGGCCTCCATGGGCCCCTCAGTTCCCCTTATCTATTAGTGAGCAGGAATGAGGCCCTTTGGGTACCCCTGGGGGGCGCCAAACCATCAGGTCCTGTGGGCTTTGCCCAAGGCATAAAACACATGGTAAAAGCACTTCCTCTGACCCTTCTTCAAAACAAAGGAAGTGATACAGTTGGAAAGACTTGACTTTGAGTGGCTGTGACCATGAGGCAGAAGCACACCTCGAAGTGGTTTCTGGGGAAGGAGTTCAGGGAAGAAGAAAGAGTGGAGAGTGAATTTTTGTGTGTGTGTCAGGGGACATCATTTTGTTCCAGAGTCTAGCACTGGTCTAGTGCATAGTAAGGAGAATGGGATAAATCAATAGATCAATGTGCAAACACATGTACTGATACCATGGTACAAGTACCTTGAAAGACACTGTCGGTTTCTCCTCATCCTCAACATGGCTCTATCATTTACTAATATGTTCAAGCACTCTTACCCTCAGACACACACTACAAATTCTTCACTCAACATTGCAATCACCTGGAGCTACATTTCTCTTCACCATTAAACTTTTGGAAAAGAGTAGTTTACATCTCTAGTTTCTCAGCATCACCCACTTCCTCTTTAACCTTAGGAAGTATTGTTTGCTCTATTAGAACAGCACTGAGTCTTATCATTTTTCCATTCCCAGCACTTGGCACATATCTGATGATAGGGAGGGTTGGTTTGTTTGGAAACAGGGTCTTGCTCTGTCGCCCAGGCTGGAGTGCAGTGGCACAATCCCGGCTCACTGCAACCTTGACCTCCTAAGCTTAAGTGATTCCCCTGCCTCAGCTTCCTGAGAAGCTGGGACTACAGACATGCACCAGCATGCCTGGCTAAATTTTGTATTTTTAGTGGAAACAGGGTTTTTCCATATTGTAGGTTGGTCTCAAACTCCTAGGCTCAAGCAATCCACCTGACTTGGCCTCCCAAATGCTGGGATTACAGGCATAAGCCACCTCACCCAGCCGAGAGAGAGTTCTTGCTTTGACAGTTCCTACATTCTCTAAGTGTGTTCCTCCTGCCCCACACAGGAACTAGACATCCCTTTGTTATTTCCTCTATGTTGTTGCATTCGAATAGGCCTAGAAAGCATTTTTCTTTTTCACATGAAGCCAGCTGTCTCCCTGCCCCATTCCTCCACCTGAACTAATTAGCTTCTGGGAGAGGCATTATCACAGGTATTAGGGAAATGCTAGCTAGAAAAACTGGAAGGTCTACTAAGGACTGACATTGTGACCAAAGTGCTATTTTAAGCCACTGGAGTACGATGGTGGTATCCGTAGGAACCGAAACAATTTGCTCAACGGGAAAAAGCATTTAGTGACTGTTGTATTTGTATGTTCTATGGCTTGTGAACATTAAACCAAACAAAACAGGGTTAAGGAACACTTTTGCCCTGCTAGACATCCTCTGCCTTGCTTAGACCACCAAATTTTAAAAACCGCACACACTTTGTATTCATTCTTGAACCCTCCACAGTTTGTGTCGAAGGTTCTCAGCGAATCAAATCCAAAGCAATAGCCAATCAATTATTTACTAAATGATAGCTTTTTCCAGAGAATACTATTTTCTATCCCGAGGCCTAGCAAGGCAAAGGAAGCATGACCTTCCTAAGAGGGAGATTTGAAATTCCTCTCAAAGGAAAAACCTGCTGATTAAAATAAAGTCCAAAATCTTATTCCAGTGGAAAAGCATTTAGCTAAATGACTTAGATCCAGGACTGAAGCATGAGTACTTTCTTTGTCATATATGGATTCATTGTCACCCTCTACTTGGCTTATCTGGAGGGTGAGATGACCTCCACAATTCAGGAAGGGCAAAATTCTTCAATATCAGACCAAACCCAATACAGGTTTCCCGAAAGCAGGAGTTTCTTCTTTTCCCACACCTCTGAAACAATGAATCATATCTGGAGACACCAAGGGGTAGCTTCTGGGAGAGGCATTATAACAATTTCTGTTAACCCCCAGCCTCTAAAATCTGCTCTGAATAAGCATATAAGCCAAATATAGCACGCTGGCCATGTAATTGTAGTTTTGAGTTTCCTGTTTTTATCTAACAAACGAGTTGCCACTTCTAAAACTCTCTTACACAGAAATTCCAGGGGTCTCACTGCTTTAGCGGTAGTAAAAAAAATCATTTCAAAAAATCCATAGTGTTGTAGAATAGATCCAAAAGAAATTTTAGAGATCACTGATGTTAGCCCCTACTTTTATTGGTGATGATTCTAACCTAGAACCTACTTGGTTCACTAACCTGGAGAGGGCACCAAAAGGAAGTTGATCATTTGTCTTACCTTCTGCCAGTTTTGTTTCACAAGTAGTACTGTGTAGTCTTAAGTGAACAATCTCTGTGTTAGATTGCCAGGATTTGAAGCTCCTCCCTTCTGCTAATTATGTAACCCTTGTAATAGAGTGAAATAATAAAATGAGTTAATTGTTTAAGCACACTTTTGAGTGCTTAAAAATGTCTGGTATACAGTGAATGCTCATAGGCTACTAGCTAATTGATCCCTCAAAGGGTTGTTTCTAGGATTATGAGATGACACTTATTAAAGTTTTAGCATAGTACCTGGCATATCATGCTCAATGAATGTGTCCTTACAGCCTTACAGCAAGGGTGGGAGATAGTTTTCTTGAGTTCAGGCCATTTATTGGTTAGAGAGGCTGTAGTACTGAAGACTTTTATTTCAAAGTCTGACCAACTTGGAGAAACCCCATCTCTACTAAAAATACAAAATTAGCTGAGCATGGTGGTGGGTGGCTGTAATCCCAGCTACTTGGGAGGCTGAGGCAGGAGAATAGCTTGAACCTGGGAGGTGGAGGTTGCGATGAGCCGAGATCGTGCCATTGCACTCCAGCCTGGACAACAAGAGCGAAACTCCATGTCAAAAAAAAAAAAAGACTGTGTAAGCTTGAGCAGATTACTTAATCTCTCTGTCCCTTAGTTGCAAAATTGGGTATATTTAGAATATGCCTCATGGAGTTATTGTAGAGATTAAAATAAAGGAGGTTATGCATAAGTGAAAGATTTAGCATAGTGCTTGGCACAGGTAAACTCAATCAATGCTATGTAACACTTTAAGTTTAGGTCCAGGATGCCCCTGCACACTCCACAGCTGAACATCATTTAACAAGGTGTACTAGCATCCATTCCTGATTATTAACAGCTTCTCAGTTAGGAATGTCCTGTTCTTCTGCTCTCTGACAGTTGTGTTTTCCCAAGGTATCTGGGTATGTTCTGGGGTCAAATGTGTTTGTAAAACACTGGGTAAATGGATGTTTTCTTTACTGTAGGACATTTTAGAGTCTTTACTATGGTAATTCGAATTAAGAAATCTCCAAAAGGGCTATTTGGTATTTGGTGGTTCCCAAACCTCGTGGACCATGGAACCCTTTTTGTACACATATTAACATTTTTTGACATTCTGTATGCAAAATGCAGCCTTGGAAACTCTGCCCTGGAGCAAAACTCTATCCAAAAGGCTCCAGTATGCTGATGAACAGGCATATTCAGAGATGTCCTACGGGTCCTGTGAATCAACACTGTGAACATGGTGATAAGTAATACGTCATGTTTAGCTGGGTAGTAGTTGCAATACATTGTAATGGATGAGGATGGAGGATAAAAGCTATATTTTGGCAATAATTTAGAAAATCATTTTCAACTAGAAGAGATAAACGTTTTGAAATTGAGGTGCTCTGTTCCAGTCTCTGCTCTGTTGTGATTCAAGGAGAGTGTTAGGAGTTGGGGAAGTGGTGTGTGAATGTCCTGTTCTCAGTAAAAGGAGAGCACGGAAGAGTGTTAGTGGTAACAGGTAACATTTTATGTAAGAGTAGGGGAGGGTGGCAGTGCCTCAGACGGGCTTGGGCTCAGGTAACAGCTCTCATTGCTGATACCTGTTGTGGGTACTTGCAGCATTACCAGGAGGTTTTTATGTCCTAAAAAATAATTTTAGAGTGTTCTAGGTCAATAACCAACCTTAAGTGTGGTGAAGATTATATCAGATTTATCTGTTATAAAAATGTGATACTGATGATTAAATCAGGAGAGAAAGTGGTTGCCCTTTTTAGAATAGCGCCTAATGCAAGTGGGATCTCTGAAAAATGCAATATAGCTGATGCTTGGGCCAGTTACTCTAATTTGAAGAGTCTCTAAGTTCAGTGAAGCTGCTGTGTCAGCATACTTTCGTGAGATTATATGTGATTTGCTGAACTCTTTCAAGAATACAAAACAAATTAAATTAAAACTGTGATACCATCATCACAACTTTTTGTTCCATACTTCATAGGTCTGGCTGTCTTACATAATTAGGAGGAGCTGAACTTTAAGGAGGCCTTGAGTATAGAAAACGGGTTGCTGGTGTTGAGGTGCTCATCATTAAAAAATAAACACATTGGCCTTACTGCTAGCAGCAAGACTGTGACTCCCCCGCCCTCTCCCTGCTTCTCAGGCTCCAACTCAAACCAGCTGGCCTGTGTCATCTCTCTATTAGTGCAGGGCTTGAAAAGTTCCACCACAGATGGACTCAAGATTGGGGGATCTGCCACTTACATTTGCTGAAATGCATTACGCACATTTTTGAGTGTGTGGCACACGAGGTTGCAGACTTTTAATTGCAAGGAGTGGAAAGGGTTTTTAAGGCAGCTGGCATGTCTCATGGGAGCCCCTGCCAAGGGAGCCTCCTACAGCAAACTTCATTTACCCCAAGGCTGAGGCGACTCATGTGGCTCCTTATTAAGTCATTCTTTCAGCTGCCCCCTTCTGTGTCTGGCTTTCCTTTCTCAGGCTCCTAGATGTGCTCAAAAGCCTGCCAATGCTAAACTCGGCCTGGGCATAGACTGACTTTCCTCCCCTCTGTAGCAGGGGCTGTTGGTAACTGGATCAGTGTGGCAGGTTGTCCTCACAGCTGGGAAAAATCTTCAGCTCTCCTGCACCCAGTGTGCTGACAGCAGGTTCAGCTCATTGCATTCTCATTTCATTTCTGTGTGTCACTAAATAAGATTCTTAAAAGCCACTGCCATGGGGCTTGTAGGAGAAGGAGGGGTGAGGGCAGGAGAGCATAGAAATACTGGGATGTTGGGGAGAAAAGCGGCAGCCCTGCTCTTGTGTATTATGGCAGGATTTGCCAGAGACAAACCAGACAGAAGGTGGGAACTCGCCATTTCAGATGAGGGCTTAAGGTGACAGAGTTGGTTAAGAATGACATTGGCATGAAGAAGACCCTGGGTCTGACGAGTGGTCTGCCTCCCTCACTGGTCAATACCCATGTTCAGCTCCTCTTCCCACCAGCTAGCATGTAATTGGAATCAGGAATCAGCGAGCTCAGTGGCCCACTGAGGAGCCCACAGGTCCTGCCCTCAAAGTGTTTACTCTTAATAAAGGATCCAGCACTGACCAATTGGTATCAGTGGACAAATGCACAGAGCACAACTGTGACATTGTTGGGATACAGCGGCAGCGCTGTGGTTATACCACCGCGTTATACTAATGCTATACCGTAGCACTGAAGATGCATCGGTGATTCCTAAACCAAAAAGACAGCGCTGAACTGCAACTGCCTATTTGATACAATACTCACTGGGTCTGAATATTTGTTACTTGATCCCTATCTCTGAGCTTGTCTACCTCTTCTTCTTTCTGGGGACAAGAATCTACATGTAGTGGAAACCACCAATAAGATGTATTGGCAGGAAGGCTGTCCGTGGGATCTCACTGAGACCAGAATAAGTGTCTTACTCATCTTTGGGCTCCATGTGTTAAGGGTAGCAACTGGATTCTAGGGGACTAAAAAATATTTGTTAAGTGGCATCAGATCACCATTATCTTTCATCTGTGTAGCACCTTTCTACTTTTATAAATCAGCTGTTGTTGTTGTTGTTGTTTGTTGTTAGAGATAGGATCTTGCTCAGTTGCCCCAGGCTGGAGTGCAGTGGCACCATCATAGCTCACCACAGCCTACAACTCCTGGGCCCAAGTGATCTTCCCAGCCTCCAGAGTAGCTTGGACTACAGGCACACACCACCATGGCTGGTTAATTTAAAAATTTACTTTTGTAGAGATGAGAGCCTTACTACGTTGCCCAGGCTGGTCCCACTCTCAAACTTCTGGACTCAAATGATTCTCCCACCTTGGCCTCCCAAAGTGCTGGGATTACAGGCGTGAACCACTGTGCCCACCCAAAGAAACAGCTTTGTATGCTTCTTCTTACCGGAAGCCTTTGTGGTAGCACAGATATTTTTCAGTTTTTCAAATGTGACGACACCAAGGCACAGATGGGTTAAGCGACTTGCCCGGGATGACAGAGCAAGTGTGCATCAGGGTTGGCACTCAAGTCAGCTATCAAGGCCGGCTAGGGGGACACTTTGGGAAATGGAACAGAATCACCTACATCTGTGTCCTTACTTTATTTATAAGTCTTTAATCTGACATAATTGATAAAATATTGAGTTTTTTTCCGTTGTAAAGTAAAAGTGAAAATACATATTGAGGCCGGGTGTGGTGGCTCATGCCTGTAATCACAGCACTTTGGGAGGCCGAGGAGGGCAGATCACTTGAGGTCAGGAGTTCGAGACCAGCCTGTCCAACATGGTGAAAACCTGTCTCTACTAAAAATACAAAAATTAGCTGGGTGTGCTGATGTGTGCTTATAATCCCAGCTACTTGGGAGGCAGAGGCATGAAAATCGCTTGAACCTGGGAGGCTGAGGTTGTAGTGAGCTGAGATCATGCCACTGCATTCCATCCCGGGCAACAGAGCAAGACTCCATCTCAAAAACATAAAAAATAAAAGTAAATAAATAAAATATATAATGATAAGGATCTCTGTAGCTTATGGATGAATAGATATCCGCTTCTAGGTTAACACTCATGCTAAGAGTTTTTTTCTTTAAGCTGGTGAGTAATGGTAAAGTATCAGACACCACCATAAAGCACAAAGCTCCATCAGAAAAAAAAAATCAATTTTGTTAATAATAAAAAATAAAAATAATGGCTGAGTAATTGGGGATTATTTACCATAGAAGCAGTTTCTTTTGCTAGGAATGTAAACATTTTCACTTCTTAGTACTTATCTACCAGCAGGGGACCATCACATCAGATAGCACCCGGTTCAATTAACAGCTTCCCTTAATTATTTCTAACATCTATTAACAACATAATTGAGTGAATCCGTGGCCACAGTGCTTAATTTTGTACCTCCACTGCTATGCTTACGGTCGCAGTTTTGCTTTCAAAGAGTAAAGTATTAACACCCGAATCTCAAACTGTACCAAGTATTATTTTTGTTACTATAAATCATTCTCTAAAAGCTATTTCTTGTTCTCTAGATCATGGATTCTCAACAGGGCCAGTATTGCTTTCAAGCGGGTGAAAATTGGTCAAGGGCTGTGAGATGGAGGGAAC